AATATTTATTTTTGGGTTTCTGATGAGTTCCAGGAATCAATTGCAATTATTTTGTAGAGTGAAGATGGGGACATTATAGACTGTGTAGATATCTATAAACAACATGCTTTTGATCATCCCGCCTTAAGAAACCACAAGATTCAGGTAAACAAATTCTACACATGCATGCAGCAAGAGTCTCTAGATAACGCTTTGTCTTTACTCAATTCACTTATTTGCATGCAGATGAAACCAAGCGTGAAGTTTGGTACAACGAAGACCACTATACCAAACAACGGTACTTCTAAACCGATCACGTCTCAGATTTGGTCCAAATCTGGAACTTGTCCCAACGGGACAATACCGGTTCGCAGAGTCAGTAGAGAAGACATAATGAGAGCCTCTTCGCCGTCTCACTTTGGAAGAAAAACTCCTCGAAAATACTACTTTCTCGACAACGCACTTAAACACAAGGCTAATTACAATATAACAGCTGAAAGATTACGCCAACCCCGCCCAAAGGACCGATCGGTATGTAAAGTTTAAGTTGTTGAATAAAGAAGTTATCCTTTATTATTATTGTTATTGTTAGAAACACTTCTTCTATGTTGATGATACAGGAGGCGATCCTTATCACTCTTGGTTATAATTATCTTGGTGCCCAATCTGATATAAATGTCTGGAACCCTCCTTTAGTTGAGGTAAACGACTACAGTTCTGCTCAGATATGGCTGCTTGCTGGACTCTCAGGTGATTTTGAGACCATAGAAGCTGGTTGGGTGGTACGTTTTCCTAACCCTAGAAATCAAATAGCTTGCACTGGAAGTAAACCATAAATTGATAGCCATAATACTATTTTCAGGTGAATCCACACGTTTTCGGAGACTCCCGCACACGTCTTTTCACCTACTGGACTGTAAGTTACACTATTACATGACTTTGGTTCATCTCAAATAACAATTTCACAAATGATGGATATGAAAAAAAATACTCATAAATCTATTTGGTTTTGCAGAAAGATTCATACGGTACAACAGGCTGCACCAACCTCTTGTGCGCCGGTTTTGTTCAAACAACAACTAAATTCGCCCTGGGTGCAGCCGTAGAACCCGTTTCAAGTATCGATAGTGAACAATATCACATCACCGTTAGCATGTACCTGGTAAAGTTTTATATTTTATATATTGTAATTTGTAAGATTATATATATAAAGTTCGCATATCGAAAGTTTCCATTAGATATATAAGTAAGTTGGACCATTCTAATTACTATCAATTGATTTAAAGTTAGAGATAGAGGAAACTTAAGAATGATAATAATCATCCTTTTGTGCCTTCTTTGTTTGCATTTTCATCATAAAACCTTACGTGTTTACAGGATCCAAACACCCAAAACTGGTGGTTGACTGTTGGAAACAACGTGATAGGGTACTGGCCGGGAACACTCTTCTCAGAGCTAAAACACAGTGCCACGGCAGTGCAGTGGGGTGGAGAAGTGTATAGTACTAACGTCAGGAAGACACCACACACAAAAACTACAATGGGAAGTGGAAGATGGGCAAATTACCGCCTTGGCGAAGCTTGTTTCCACACCAACGTTAGGATCAAAGACAATTCCTTGCAGATCAAGTATCCCGAGAGCCTATCAGAATACTCTGATGAGTACGATTGTTATACTACAAAGCTTAACCGGGACACGTATATGTCAGAGCCCGTTTTCTTCTTTGGAGGACCTGGTCAGAGTCACTTCTGTCCTTAACTCCAACATTTGTAGGGCTCAATTCATATGCTTGACTGCTTTAAAATCCTTAATCAATCCATTGTGTTTAATATCTAGATGTAAACTGAACTTATATAAAAGTAATGAATAAAACTATGTATCTTGTCTTAGTTCAAAATAAGAGATGGCAAGGAATACCAAATTTATAAAGACCATTTTCCTTCATTTATTCTAATATATGTTTCCCTTTGTTTACACACAACACATGCGTTAAAAGTTAAAACCCTAAAACAACCTCAAAATCTGTGTGACTATTGATTATACAAAACCTAGAGCTTCATCCTCTACTCTTTTACTTGTCCTCCGACCAGATAAACTAACCAGTAGAGGTGCCTCAGGTGCCTCTGCTGCAGTCTTTTTAGTCGCCTCAATTCCTTGTTGGCGAAGAACATACAAAACCTCCTTCATGGAAGGTCTATGACTAGGCAATGTATTAGTACACATTAGACCTAGCTTAAACACTGTTGTCATCTCCTCCGAGTTGGAAGCATCTTTGATGTCTTCATCAAAAGCCTCTGTGATCGGTTTCCTAGATTTGTAATATTGCCACGACCAATCTGCCAAGTTTGTATGTTCATCACCATTGTTTCCTTCTCTTCCGGTCACCAGCTCTAACAAAACTACACCGAAGCTATACACATCGATCTTTTCATCCACCTTTGATGTATATGCGTATTCTGCAACATTAAAGTTGTTAAGAAACCAAACAATGATACATACTAGAGACCTGTTCGAATTATTATAAGCAGTGTTCTAAAACTAATTCCATATGCGTCTGTCTAAACAATAATTCTCTACGCGATTTTTTAAATATTTTGATTATAAGGGTGTTATTACCTGGAGCAATATAACCGAAGGATCCAGCAACAGCTGACATAGTATGAGGTTGTTGGTTTTGCTTAACCAACAATTTAGCCAATCCAAAATCCGCAATCTTGGCGTTGAATTCATAATCTAGCAAGATGTTGCTTGACTTGACATCTCTATGTATGATCGCAGGAGTACAATCATGATGCATATAGCAAAGTCCTTGAGCTGCTCCCACCGCAATATTCAACCTCTGTGCCCAATTCAAGCTATTAGCCTCTACATCACCACCTCCTTTCTTCTTACCATGTAGCCATTGATCCAAGCTGCGTTTCTCCAGATACTCATACACAAGAAGCTTTGAATCCTCCCTGGAGATACAACACAGTAGTTTCACTATATTGACGTGTCTAATCGTTCCAAGAATCTCAACTTCAGCGATGAACTCTTTCTCAAGGTTCTTGTCAAGTTTCTTGTTGTCCCATATCCTCTTCACCGCTACGTTTTCTCCAGAGGATCCGATGAATATCCTGTACACTTTGCCGGATCCTCCACTCCCTATCACATTCTGTTCCAGCAGATTCGAAACGATGTCGTGTTCCGCGAAATCCACTCTGTGAAAAGAAGTTAGCTTCCACGTCTCTAAGCCTCTGCTTCTTCTAGGCTTCCTTGTGTAGTCCCTAACCACAAAGAACGTGGCAATTAGAGTGACCCCGAGGAGCAGAACTGCGATGACTAGAATCATTGCGAGGATCTTCCCAGGGAAATGTTTTGATCTCCGTATCACTTTCCGACAATCCTCTAACTTAACAACGGGTCTGTCCGCACAGAGATTGCTGTTGTTTAAGAAACTTGTCTCGTACGCAAGGTTATCAAGCTGGTCCGGAACTTCTCCCGTGAGCTTATTCGACGACAAGTTAAGCGTCGTGAACTTCAGATTCCCGATCTCCGGCGGGATTTCTCCGGAAAGTTCGTTCTCCGATAAATCAAGATCTAACAAACCCGGCAACAACCCTAACGCTCCGGGAATCTCCCCGGAGAGCTTGTTTTTCGAAAAACTCAACGTCACCAACGACTTCCACGAGATAATCTCATCCGGCAACTCCCCGGAGAGACTATTCGAATCAAGAAAGATCGATATGAGTCTTGACAAGGAAGTTAACTCCTTCGGGATCTCACCGGAGAATCTGTTGTTACTCGCTTTGAACACTTCAAGAGAAGACCAAGAACCGATCGTTCGAGGTATCTCACCGGAGAACTCGTTGTTATCTATCTCGATCCTCGAGAGGTTCACAGCGACTTTCTCTGGTAACTTCCCGGTGAAGAAGTTGTTACTCACTTGTAAGCTATACATCTCTTTAGCAGTCCATATCCCGGAAGGAAACTCACCTGAGAAGCGGTTGTTATGAAACTGAACCGATACGAGGGACCCACAGTTTCCTAACGACTCCGGGATAACGCCTGTGAGATTGTTTGAGAATACAACCACGCCGGTCAGTTTCCCTCCCTTGCAGAGATTCTCTGGTAACTTCCCGGTTAACTGATTCTCGGACACTTCGAACGCCTCTAAAGTTGAGTGTAAACCGAAATCCGCCGGTATATCTCCGGTTAACTTGTTGGTAAAGAGCCTCACGTCATTTAATACCGGTAATTTCGCGATAACCGCCGGTATTACGCCGGTTAACTGGTTATGCATCAGGTTTAGAGACTCTAATTTCTTCAGATTCCCGATCGATTCCGGAATCGAACCGGTTAACTCGTTATACGAGAGATCGAGATCAACAATGTTGGTAGCCGAAATAGATTTGGGGATTTCTCCGGTTAGGTTATTTACGTAGAGATATAGAACGGTTAGGTTCTTCAACCCGAATAAGACTTCTGGGATCCGACCGGATAACTTGTTAGCGGACAAGTCCACGTGTTGAAGATCCGTCATGTTCTCGAAAACAACGGCTGGGATTTCTCCGATCAGATTCGTCTCCGTGAACAACAGGTACTTGAGTTTCGTCAATCTCCCAAACTCCAACGGAATCTCCGCCGGTAAAAACTTATCGTTGTACTCCAAACGGAGCGTTTCGAGCTCCGTCAAGTCCCCGATCTCCGACGGAAACGTGCCGTCGTATTCGCTCGCGTAGAGATTCAGAACCGTGAGTTTGGAGAGCAGACCGATCTTCTTCGGGATATCGCCGGAGAAACCGTTAGCGCTGAGGTCGAGAACCTCGAGTTCCGGTGAGAGACGGTCGATGTCGGAGGGGAGCGAGCCGTTGAAGTAGTTCTGGGAGAGATCGAGGTGTCGAAGTTTGGTGCAGTTGTAGAGAACGGTCGGAAACTCGCCGGAGAATAGATTATAGGACAAGTCGAGGGTTTCTAGGTTTGGGAAATCGCATATGTTGGTCGGAATTTCGGTGAAGTTTTGGTTCTTGAAATTTATCTTGGTGACGTTGCCCGCGACGCAGGTGATTTCGGACCAGTCGCATGGGGAAGTTGTGTTGTTCCATTGGCGGAGAGACGGTGGGTCTCCGAGAGCGCGTTTTAGGTCAAGGAGGGTTGACCGTTCGTCGAGCTGGGAAATTACGGAGAAGGGTAGTGAGGTGAGGAAGAGGAAGAGGAGGAGTAAGGGTAAATGGGTCATATTGTGGTTTTGGTTGGTTGGGGTTTTGCCGGGAAATTCGGCAAACAGAGTTTGACTAGGAGATTCTTCATACAAGTTTGAAGTAAGTTGGAAGTTTTGAAACGTTTTTGTAGATATATAACAGGGGAGTGATTCGTTGAATAGTCAAAAGGATTATTTGAATTTTGGACTCTTTTTTATCGTTATCAAGCGACTTTTCTTCGTTTCTTTTTCTTGCAATCCAGTTTTATTTTTTGTTGAAAAGAAATAGAGCATGATACACGAACATTTCGTTCTATTAGCACACAAGATAATTAAGATACTTTATGTTCGAATATTGATTAACTAGTTTATATGTGTTCAGTTTGATTATTATTAGTAGTTAGATATTGGATTTGACAGATACCATCAAAGCGTCTACGTCAAGTTAGTTTTACATGTGAGAGCGGTGCCATCTAGAACATCGGCGGGAGGGTTAACAATGTTGTATATAGGTGTGGGAAAAAAGATGAATCCGAAAATCTAACCAATCCGAATTGAAGTGAATCCGACTTAATATCCGAATAGATATTTTTATACGGTTTTTTGGGATTTATCCAAACCAAACCTGAATTCAAACGGATATCCAAAAACTCATACCAAACACAAATTCAATTTTTAATAAATATCATAGCTAATAAATATTTATAAAATAAAAATTAACTATAATATTTATTTTATTATTTTTATAATTAATTTTAAAAAATATAAAATTTATATCGTGACAATTGTATTTAAAATTGATTATAACTAAGTTTTCTTATTTTTGCTAAAACTATAAAAAAAAATTAAAAAGAAGCTATAAATCATTTTTATCAGATTTTTTTCGATTTTCGCTTTGTTTCTTTCATTTCAAGGGAACAGAGTGAACCTACCAAATATTTAGCTAAGCATATCTTCTCCACTTTGTAACTATTTGGAACTGCGACTTTTTTCTTATCTTATGAATTTCAGTTGCTCCAAAAATAAAGTTTTCTTCAAAAAACTTTTATTTTAAAGTTTTATGATATTTTCTACATTTATAGAGTTATTAGTTTAACATTTTTTTGTTTCTTTTTCTTAACAATCATTTCTTAATTAAGTTTTTTTTTTAAAAACAATCATTTCTTAATCATATTATCACGTTTTTGTTAATGTAACTATTTTTTTTGCTTTCAAAAAACTTGAATTAACTTTGAACCGAAACCGACTATGGCTAGTTGTATAATCTGCTAATCTAAAAGGAGTATCTTCAAACACGTTATATCACGAGAAATGAGTTAATTATAGGCCATCCATTTCTCTGAAATGTGTTGCCAAGAAACTTGTGCCATTTGAAAAGTCAGGAAGTGAAGTCAAAGATGTCTATGTTTTTTTATATTATTCAATTTCTAGTAATAAATCGATTCTTCCATATTGTAAAAGTTACACACCTTATTCGTTTTCTTTTTTTTTTTTTTTTTTTTTTTTTTTTTTTTTTTTTTTTTTTTTTTGTAACAACACCTTATTCGTTTTCACTTCTAATCTATATTGGATAGGAGTGGACACAAGCCACAGTACTTGGTGTTTTTGGTATACTTAATATTCGACTTGGCTTTTACGAGTATTTAAATTTTGGACTTGTACTTGATTTGTTAAAAACGAATATTTGTAGTTTCAAAGACTTGTGAAAATTGATGGACTTGTAAGTTACTTGCCTTGTTTTATTACTTGTTGTTTGTACAAATTTTACAAATTACTTGATAACTATTGATCAATTATTTGATAATTAGTTAAAATTTAAAAGTAAATAAATTTATTATACACAAATAATATGTCATTGTTTTTATTTTCATTTTTTATGATTTTTTAGTAATTCATGAAATAGATTATATTAAGAAATAAAAAAATTCCAAAATGTTTATATAAATATATCACTTATGTTTGATTCACTTATAAAAATTGAAATATAAACGAATTGTTTTACTATTATTGTTTTTATGATTTTTAATCATTCGTGAAATAGATTATATTAAGAAATAAAAAATTCCAAAATGTTTATATAAATATATCACTTATCTTTGATTCAATTATAAAAATTGAAATATTAACGAATTGTTTTACTATTATTTAGGAAAATGTATTTTTGTTCATTGACAAAAACGAATAATAAACCAAACAACGCTGAATATTTATTTTTATTTAATTATTTTGTATTTGTTTGTATTTGAAGACAGTTTAAATAGACTATTTGATACACATCTTAGTCAAACACAAATATTCGACTTTAAGGATCGTGTGTATCAACCAAATAATGAACATGAGACAAGTACAAGTAATTATGGCCACTCATAAAATACATAGATTTTAATTATTTAATGAAATATATAGTAAGTATTTAATAAACCAAATAACATATGACAAGTAATAAATAACAAGTAAAGGATAACAAGTAACAAATCAAGTAGTTAAAAATTAAAATGAACTTAATACTTGACTTGTACTTGCGAGTAATAAAATTCGTTTACTTGTTATTCGATTTGAATGAAGCAAGTACTTGTTTTTTTCAAACCAAACCAAGTCAAATAGTGAGTACAAACCGAGTATCAAACATTTATACCCAGTCCTAATATTGGAGATAGTTGGTGGACTGTAGATTGTAACGAGCTCAATTTTCTCAAATCCTTTTTAGTTTGTTATATGTTTTACCTTACATAACATGTATTCAGTTTACTAAATGATCGTAGTGGTAATTATTTTTCAATTTGACCAAATTAAATCGATAGGATGCAAATGCTACCACTATACCTTCTGTGGATTTGGCGATCAGATTGCATTAAGACTTGTATTTTGACTACTTTTGGCACACAGAAAAAAACTAGTTCAAATTTCAGGCTTTCAAATTTGTTATCATAACACATTTTTGTTGCAAAATACTCCTGACGAGTTTATTAAAATTTGAGATAGTAATTTAATATTTTTTGTGTTATCCTTAGTTTTTAATATGATATGCTTTTGTATAACTTTGCAATGAATGTGTTCTTACGTTATAAATAAGGGGAATTGTGAGGAACGAGCACTCCAAAAAACCAATGCAAAAACTGTATTTAGTCCAGGGATTATGTTTATATACGATTGAGAATTTGAAATCTATTATGTAAGCCAAATACAGAAGAATTAATTCTCTGACCATTTTCAATATCTTTTTCTTCCTTGTGCAATAAGATATGTGTGTTTGCTCATCTATAAGGTCAATTAATAACTAAGATCATGATTAATCCAAAAAATTTAAGATGGATTCTTATTAAAAGTTAAGAAATAGTTTCTTAACTTTCATTAAAAACTTAATTCTAAGAACCTTTGTTAATCATGTTCTAAATAAAACAATTTTTGTCACTATCTAATTCTGTTTATTCGTTTAATCATTTTTGTTTAATTTTTGTTTTTTTTTTTTGCCACTCCGCTGTGGTATATTGTTCCAAACCAGATTTTCGTCACCTAAATGGAAGATTTGTTTCTTTTTGGAAATTAGTAAGAAAGCTTCTTTTGATAAGATACATTAATACAGAGAATGGGGTAGGTTAATAGAATTTATAATTAATTAGACAACACCATTGGCCATTGTTTCTCTTTATTGGCTAATATCGTATCTCGATACGTAATGTTCGTGTGGCTGATGTTAAAGTCCGTGATACATTAGTTATTAAAAAAAAAAAACATTTCCACACGTTCCCCGATTTTGAACGTTGACTCTTCAATTCAACAGTTTGAAATTCGAGAAGAGATTTTTTTGGACAATAATTCGAGAAGAGATAAGATGCGGAATCCCTTGTGTTCTTGACTATTTGATATTAGAAAATATTACACCCCGAGTCACTTTTGAGTTTTTTATTTCACTCAGAGACACTTAATGCTCCTAAAACATTTTCCTTAACAGCCGACTTTTTCCATGGTTATTTATCAATATTTAATCTCCTTCTAGTTACAATCTTAACTTGTTCACGAGAGTAGTATCGTTAGTTTAAGCGGGAGACACCTCCCCACCACACATCTAGATTCCTTTTGTATGGTCCAAATTTTATTTTAACTTTTTGACAAGACATATAACTTTCCTCAATTGTAGCCACACGATCTTCTAACTTTTTGTACCCATCTACGGTCCACATTATTTCCATATAATCTTATCACATTTGACTTAATTTTTTCAGCAAAACAAACAGTCGGTGAACTCATCTCTCTCCGATTACCGCTGCTAAAAGAAGAGATTAGTGTTAAACGTTAATCTATCCACCACGACTTTTCTTTAACCTAATTATCAAGTTATTGAAGTAAAAACACAAAAAAATGAAATTGCACAACTAAAATCAATGGCGGCTCTAAAATTTAGTTACAGAAAGACAGGATACCATAATAGGAAGAAAATGATTTAATTACAAAATTGCCACTCATTAAAAAAATGAAATTTCATACAATTATATGTGTACATGTGTACATCTTCACAAGTGTACACTCTGTATTATTAAAACAATGTACACTCTTCACATGTGTACATTATTTATTATTAAAACTAAAAGCAAAATTTACATATGTACAATTATATATGTGCATGTGTACTTCTTCACATGTGTACACTATTTATTATTAAAGTAATATATCATATATAAAAAAAATTGATAAGAAAACAAATTTCATGAAAGTAATGAATTATTGTACATATGGATACTAAATTTTGTATACTTAATTTCATGTATGATTTTGATGAAATGTTTTATAGTGTGTACATATGAATCATTTGCCAAAATTGATAAGAGTACATATGAATAATAAATTATGTATACATAATGTCATGTACATATGACTATATACATAAATAACAACAATAATCGTTGTACATGTGGATAATAAAATGCGTGTACATAATTTCATGTACATATGACTTTTTTGTTTATTATTTTTTTTTAATAAGGGGCATTTTAGTAAATTTGGTTTCGTCTTCCCCATATTTTTAGGGTTTTCTGCAACGT